CCCTCCCACTACTCATCCCACCATGGCGCAAAACCCGCTCAAGGACCCACTCACATGCCACTTCAGCACAGGCATCATGCCAACTCAAGCTCGGATCACCGCCACGCCTGGAGAGTCTGCCACCACCACCAGCGGCCCGCACTCGCAAACGGACGTCCATTATCCTTCTCTGTCCGCCCCAGCTGAGTTTTTCACGCCGCCAATCGCCGACGAGGGCGTCTGCTCCCGAGTCCTGGTGCCAAGGCAACAGGAAAGGCCCCAGAGGAGGCCGCAGACGGCCCAGGCCGTGCTGGTAGCGGCAGGGTCGGGTGCCCGAGCGGCGCGGGAGAGGCTGAGGAGCGCCCTCAGGCGAGAGGCCAAGGTGAGGATGGAGTCGGAGATGGCGCGCATGGACGCGGAGGACATGAAGGTGGAGAAGGAAATGGCGTTGGCGGCGGCGGGCGAGGAGGCGTCCGCGAGAGACGACCTGGAAAGGGAGCTTCAGGTTGGAAACTAGTTTAGACGGGCCAACACACACAAAGCCTCGAGTGGATATGACTGAGAAGTGATTGGAATAGGCTTACATGAATTAACGACAGGGCTGGCATTCGGGATGACTATCCATTTGAATATGGACATTGGTGCGATGACAGCAATGGTGGCTGCGCATTGACTGTAGTTGCTCTTGCCGTTGCCATGGTCCTCAGTGACGATTCGAGATGACAACAAATGCGATGATAGGGCTGGGAACTACGCAACGCACCATGTTATCCCAGGCTTTTCCCCAGCTATGCCAGCCAGGCCCAAGTGATGAAATCAGCACCAGCCTGCGACAAAGCAGCAACGAAGACAAGTGGAAATGCTGTGGAAAATTGTAGTGACAGGAACCAAGGAATAGCTGCTCCGAGCTTGCCTTGCAGAAAGGCTTGAAAACAATCACAGGGCTAATGGTGGTCTTCAATTGTTCTGCTCATTAGGACGCCCGCAACGAAATTCGACGGCTGAAGCAAGATGGGGGGTGGCAGACGGCTCAGCAACTCCGGAGCGACAACGAGGGTTTGAACGTGCGGTTGGGCGCCGCCACTCAAGAAATAGATCACCTCAGGCGGTGCCTTAAGGACGCGAAGCGAATGTACGACGAGGTGCAATCAGCTCTGCGTGAAGAGAGGAAGTACTGGATGGAGTGTTGGGGTATGAAACAGCACCTCCCGTTTCGAGCAGGCAACCAAAGCTGCCTTTCGTGACCACCATGTCAACTACCATGATCACCATTGTCTCCAACATCTTTTCTCATTTGGCTCAGTTGCCAGTTTTACGTCAGCGTACCTGAATTTCCAGTAGTTTTGAATATGCGGAATTTGGTACCATCTGTACGGCAGAAAAACCCAGAGCGCAAACCGGCGGTTTCCAGGGGCAGCTCTAGCAAACTCTGCAATCGCACGGCAAGCTGACGGTTGAGTGTGCCGCCCTTGTTTCGATACCTTGAAGAACGGTTTCAAAGTCGAGCGCTCTCGCCAGTGCTATGCTAGTTTGTGTGATCCACGAGCGTTTCGATTCTCGCTTTGGACGCGGTTGAGTAGCCCTGACCGTGGTGACCTGACTGTTGTCCCTGTGCCGGGTGCCCCGTTGTGGATCTATTTGTAATGCAGCGAAGAATGCAGTGCGAATCGCGTACTGCCATCTCGGAATTCATGCAAATGAGTATGTCCAGGTGCCCTCCAGGATCTCTCACCAGAGGACGAGAAATGGAGCCCCGGAACTACCAACGTTGCTCCCACGATCATCAACAGGATTCCAGAAATTTCCCCCAGGATGGGTCCCGATTGCGCGATGGCATCCACGGCGCCAATCAAAACAACTATGAACAACTCCCGGCCGGTTGGAAATCGATGAGGGCGAACAACAGAAGTGGCGTGAGCACCCCTCGCGGCTGGTTGCCCGGAGCGGCGTGGGCTGCTAGGACAAACCCTACAGGCCCTCCCCTAAATAGGAGGTCCAATGCCCCCGACTCTGCGAACCGATCTGTGATCCATCCACGGGCCCTTGGGACCACCACGCACCAGTACACTGCCTCTCGAGCAGTGCACAAAACAGGGGCAGCAGCGGATCCTTGTGCTTGGGCGGCGGGGGCCAGTACACGCAAGGCGTCCTCGGGCGGTGAAGGTTCCCGGCCAGGCAGCCCCAGCGATCGCATGCATTATATAATCGACGACTTGGATGCAGCCGCATTGAGCATAGGTAAGGCGTTGCAACACAGACTAGGGCTGCGATAATAACCAGGCACAACGTAAGTTGGATCAGGTTTGGGAATTTGCGGCATGTTCTGAGCTTTGAAGAGCAATGATTCTGCCACTTGGGTGAAGAGTAAAGATCTCACTGCTGTCCGCAATTGGACGTTGTCCTGGACATAGGTCGGACGGCAGAAAAGAAGGCCACGGCTCATGGCTCTGGGAGGCGGCTGTGGTTCAGGGAAGCGGAAAATGAGGATCCATCGGGGTCACCACGTGGCAATGACGGGGCCACATTGGAATCTCGTGTACCTAGGGGTGGGCTCCCTGCCGTTGACGCTGGCGACGATCTCAGGGAAGCACCCGAGGAGCGAAAATTCACAGAGAGCAAAATCGGCAATTGCCTTCGTAGTGAGTGCCTTTCGGGCCACTTGTGCGTCGAGGTTCCATTACTAGAAGAGCTGCATGGGCGAAAAGCTGAAGGCCATCCTCACTGGGGACATCACTTCACACATGTGCTTCAGAAACAAATGCCCTCTGTTCCCACACAACACGACTTTTGTAGAAAAGCACTCAAGAGCCGTCCGCCACCACACGTACATCAGCCCGACCATCCACATCTAATGTGTGCTCAGTCGCTTCGCAGTAAATTGCGCTTCAATACAACGTGGCTCAACTTGAGTAAGTCCCTAATTCCGTACTCCACTTACTCAGCCAGCGAAAAGGTAACCGAATATTACTCACTCGTGGAGGGCAGAGCGGGTGCGAACAACACATAGTGGGGACTGGGGGAGGAGCCTAAACAGTAGCCTCCCAATCGGGGGCCCCCATGTCTGGCAAGCGCCAAGGGTGCATGACTGCCTGCAATCCTCTGAACGCTATGGAGTCCATGCCAGCCAAGGCACCAGGTGGCCAGAAACCAAATGGCGGAGCCTGAGTATGCCATTCAAATTTGGCAGCATATTCTAACCATTAGCGGAGCTCACCCACCGTCGCCCTTTGCAGAAACCCATTGGCAGGATGGTAAGTCTCATGAGCACCAGTCCTTGGCCGCCCATCTCGTCGCTTATTGGAGCCGGCATCTAAGGCGCAACGCTGTACAGGGGATTTCCTGGACCCCACTTCTGCAACTGGGATTTTCTTTACATCTGCGTTTCTTGTGGACTGCAGCTGGGCCAACTGGCTACATAACAGCTATTCCAAAACAATTTGAGTGGAAACAGCGTTGGAGATGTTGCCCACGCTCGATGCAGATTTTGAAGCACGCAAAGTGCACCTGGAAGTCGACCTGTGATGTATTGTGAAGATTCCCAGCAATCGAAGCCCAAGACAAGCATCGTTGGCAAGACATGTGACGGTGTGCCTAACTGCACAGGCCCAGGTTGGACAGAACACAAGCCCCAAGGATCGGGAGCTGCACGGGACGCCGAAGGTTCAGCATTGCTGCAGCATGATGAGGCCGCTGCTTGCAGGGGGAGGGGTTGGGGTTCGATGGGGCCTCGAGGCACGTCCACAAAGCGAGGGAGGACCCTGGAGTACACTTCGCCTGTGCCCCCCAATAAAGTGAGCGAAGCCGACCTGGAAAGGGCCAGGATAGAGTACATGCAGGTAGGCGGTCCCCAAACTCGTAAGTTGATTCTCAAAGAGCTCCGTAATTTCGGAGTTCTGACAAGGACATGATGTGCAGCCTCAACCGAGACGAGTGGTCAGCCGAGTGGGCAGCCTTTGCAAAGGAACGTGGCCGTTCCTTGGCGTCTGGGTCGCAGAATGCAACAGCACAGAAGCCAGCAAATCAGAGTTCGGCAAGTTGTTGCTGGAAGTTCAAAATCTCATGGTCCCGTCCATGCCAGATCTGCTGCAGCCGCTGTCAGGTTCCATCTGGTTACTGGAGCAGAAGAAATCATCCACCAGTGGAAGAATCGAAACTGCAGCTTCCGATTGAGGCACAGCGTCAATGTTAGAACTCACCTTGACATAAATCTATCTGTAGTTGCTGCTGTCTGGTTGTGGTTCAGCCCTCAATGGGAGTTTAGTTGTCAGTGACAACTATGACAACTTGCCATATCGTATCTTGCGCAATGGTTGAAAACACATGGCGCCTGCCAGTTGTCGTTGGGCCATTGGCTCACTTTCCATTGCACGATAGGCTGCCCGCATAAGGTGCGCCACATTGCATTCGTTTCTCGAGCGCTGAGCCCACATGTGCACTTCTCTTGCCCAGGATATGAAACGCATCCGCCAAAGATGGAAAGAGATTGAGGCAGAGCGGTGAATGGGTTTGGAGCGACGCCCTTTGACAAAAGGAGTCGGCGATTGGCCGCACGTATATTTTGCCTTCCCAGTAGCAAAGCCAATATTGCCTTAAGAGTGTCGCACTATAGGATGAACTTGGCGGGTCACCAAGCAACATAGCGCAGATTGCCAGCTCAAGCCGTTAACCCTGGCACAGGTTATGCCCCGGTGCAACGGAGCTAAACGTGGAAACAAAGAGAAGGTGCCACACCATGACCCCGTGAGGTGTGATGCTGACAGCAACAGCGTTTAAAACCACACCATTTTCCGGCGTGGTGGTGGAGACCATGCCAGCAAAAGCCACATCATTTGAGAGCCTTGCCCCATGGGCTGATGCCACTTGGAACAGTCCCACTGCTCTACTGTCCTCAACTAAGGTCCAACCAGCCTGTGCACAATGCCCCGCTGGAAACCCCCTGTTGACCACTACACAGTGTCCTAACCCAATAACCAGCTGTGCAAACAGCAAAAAATCGCCAAGTTCTTTGCATCACCCTGGCGCTAGTCAGCAAACTCCACCCCTGAGCTGGCCAATTGCATCAGCCTGGACTCGATGCCATGCAGCACAGGCAGCCAGGAGCGCCGCATCTGCATGTTGCCCTGCATGGCCTGCACCAGGGTTGCTCCCACCTGCCTGAGTTTGCAGTCCAGGGCGACAGCACGGGCACGCTCCTCAAGCAGTTGCTCCTCGACAGTGTTTGCGTCCGGTGTGGGAACGCCTTCTGTGGCCTGTGCCTGTTCACCATCCTGGAATCCCTGATCGTCTTTCTTCCACTGTACAGAGGCAAGCACACAATGCTGATGTGCTGCAAAGTTCTGAAGCGAAACATCAGGGGCAGTAGTCCAACTTGGGATTCCTAGTAAATGTAGTGGGTAGGACAGCGATTGCACCACATCATATCACAAGAATGCAGTGCAACAACAGGACAACATAACTGCCAGCAACACCAACTCGAACTGACAGTGCTGGGTGATACATGATCCCACATGGCTGGGATGACATGACAGCAACTCGTCATGCCAAAAGGTGGTATGCTGACACCTCTCCTAAAAAATTGTCCCTGGCTGAGTTTACCACCATGTTTGCATTCATGGGCAAGCAGTTGAAATTCGGAGTGGCAGTAAACAGGCCTGCCAGCTCAAGGACCAGGATTGGGGGCACAGCAATATCTCACAGAGGCCAGGCATGTCCGCAACTTTTGCAGCTGGCCACATCTGGCCACATTTCACACGATTTTGTGTTCGCCTGTGGATATCATGAGGCATTTGTGACATACTTTGGGCAGAAGAATTGTGGGATCATGAGATTGTACAGGCTACATGTCCAGGGGATCATGAGAAAGCAGACAAGCACTCTCGCTGGACCTATGTCATCGTCAGCACTCGTGCAGCAAGTATACCATTACATCTGTATTTATCAGCAACAGTCAATTGCTTTGCTGAGAGCAGAGTTTTGCAATCTGTGTTTCTCTTCTTTTGCAAACGTGCTTTTAACACGATCTCTACGACATGCACATACTTCACATCTAAAGTGTTTGAATGCAAGATGGTGGCATCGTGGGCATGGGGATGCACAGCAGCAACCCTTGCTTGCCTACCTTGGCACTCTCCTCCAGCATGTCTTTGACTTTCTCCACCTGGGCCAGCGCCTGCTGCGCACTCGCCTCCCACAGCTTGGAGGCGCTCCGGCAGTCCTCCAGCTCCCCTTGGAGCGCCTGCTTCTCAGCCTGCAGCGTCTCGATGCCCACAGACTGGCGGTCAACCTCGAACAGCAGTTTGTCCCGGCTGAGCTTCAGGGTGTTGACCTTCTTACGCAGGGCAGCTATCTGGGGATGACAGCCAAGGGGCAGGTGCTCAGACTGGCAATGCCTGCTGGGTGAAATAGCAGTGTTTCGATGTGTTGTGGCCACCGTGGTTGCATCGATGCAGAAAACAGCAGCCTGTACCCTGTGAAGCTGTGCCCAGTATATGCACATTGGTAAACAATTTGTTCTTTCCATGCTATCAATGCATCGAGGGCGTTCATGCGCCTAGAGGCACCAATAACTGAAGCGCAGACACCCAAAACCACATGCCCATTCTAAGATCTGACCCAGGCATGGGGCACATAGAAATGGAGGCGTGCCCGAGCACACAGGCACTGGCCGGCATTTCTCCTGGACAATTCTTGTTCCTAGAGACACAGCGATTAATGGCAAATTGTGCTTGATCGCCTCCAGAAGAACCATGTCAACTGATGCAACTCATGCTGTTGTAAGTTTCACAAACCACAAAGGATGCTGCCAGCTCAGACACAACACAGCAGCGCAGCGCCATCGTCGATGTGAACAGTCCAAAGCACACAGCCACAACTGAGCAACGTTTTACTGCAGGTAAGGAAAAACAACAGCAGCTGTCAAAGGCCAACTATATACATTGACAACTCAAACATGCATGGTGGAACTTGACCATTGTGGTGCTGAAAGCAAAAGCAAATAATCAGAATTAGTTGAATTCAGCACCGTTCCACAGACGTGGCAGGCATGTATTCCCCACCTGCTCTTTGTGCTGCTCCCCCAGTCCTGGTTCTTCAACAGACTCAGAGAACTCGGTGCTCTCTAGCGACTGGCCTGCTGAGGTGGGGGCTTGCGAGTCATTTTCTGTTTTTGCCTCCAGAGCCTCTTGTGTCGAAGCAAGATCTTTCTGGAGCTCAGTGATGCGGTCATTTGCCTTTTGCAACTCCACCCGAGTGGAGCTGGTGGCTGCCCTTGAGGCCCCAAGGGCTGCCGATAGATCGTCTGTGCGGCTTCGCTCCGCCTCAAGCTCCTGGGTCAACTCAATCCAGTTGAGAATCACAGCAGTTGTGATTGAGCTTGCATTTATGCACAAGAGGAGATGTGAAACCTCATACTATCTCTGTCTCAAAAGTCGTGTGCGACATGTTATGTGCTCAAATGGAGGCCAAAGCATACCGGCCATAAAATGGACAGAAGCAACTTTGAAGCACCACATCAAGGGCTATCCAAAAAGCCCTCAAACGTTGCAAATGGTGCCACCAAGCTGGCAAAATGTCAAGTAAGTCGATACTGTAAGTCATCCCAAGCGGCAGTGGATGGCGTTGTCCAGTGTTGGCAACACGCAAGCTGTATGATGTTGTTCATAAGCGCTCAAGCCAGTTCTGGGCTGAGTTGCTTTGTCTCTTGCCAAAACTGCACTCACCCGCTGTAGCTCATCCATGGCCGGTCCTCCCTCAACCCCAGTTTCTGTGGCTGTTGCACCGGGTGCCTGTAATGCCTTCAGCTCACGCCTGGCATCGGCTGCATCAGCCTCTGCCCTGCACTGTTCCTCCTCAGCTTCGGCCACTTGCTGCTCGGACACCTATCCATTGACAGCACCAGCACTCGCACACCGCAACACCAAGGGCCGTGAAGGCGTACCAGAGACCACCCTCGACGTTCATCTGCCAATTCAATGCTCAAGCCAACTTCATGCTGTCCGATCGCATCCGCAACTCGTTGATGAGCTGCCCCCAAACCCAACTTCCTTGCGATGATCTTGAGGGGTTGAGTTCGATTGCAATGAAGTCAAGAGGGGGTGGGGATTGAGGTGTGAGCGCCACTGCCGGCAGCCCAACAGGGTGCTGTTGCAGCCTTGAAATGCTGTGCTACCAGATTTGCTGCAAGAAGGCAGCCTTTTCTTTCTTCCAGAGTGCAGAAACACATGTCCTGGGTGGAGGCTGACCACCCACTAAATCTTGACACATTTGGAGAATAAACAAGAAGCGACGAAAACATTTTCTGGCGTTGATGCCTAAAGTGAAAGTTAGCAAGCAACGATTGTAAACACAAAACAGCCCGGTGCCAGTGGAACTATGCCCACCGTTGATGTCCTGCTATTTGGTCAACAGCCATCCAAGCATCCACAGAAACTCACCCTCAGCTGGGCTGCGATGGCTTCCTTCTCGCGCTGTATCCTCTTTTGCTCTGCCTCTGCCCTTGCAGCGGCTGTGTCTGCCAGCTCACGGCACCTCCGTTCCTCGCGCAAGTCGCTCTCGGCGGCCTGCAGGGCATCTGGGTGTTCGTGACAAGACGCCACTCATCCACAACATCTCCTCCCACCCCCAGTCCAACACACCATCCCGTCGTTTTACTCCATCCCCAAAGGGCATCCCTTCATCGGTTCCACAAGAAGAATCTGCGCTTTGTTGCTGCTGCCCCAAACACTTGTTGAGCTCCGTGGACAACAATTGTTCAACTTGCGTAACAGTCTACCACAATGCCCTCATGGCCCCAAAGCACTGAGAAGCATCTGAGTCCATGGCTGGCTGCAACGCTGTGGACACACACACTCTCAAGCCAGACACGCCCAATTTTCCCTCCCCTACGTGCAAATTCCTCCCCCATCCCGTTCTCGCACTCCTTCAAAGCCACTCAGCTTGCAAATCAGCAATCAGACAGCCCTCACGCCATTACGGGAAACTGCTTGCTGACAAGGGCCTCGTGGGCGCCAGCACAGTCAGCAATGTTCGTGTGTTGACTCCCTGGTTCGCTGCTCACCTTTGGCCGTCTGGTTCTCCTTTCCTAGCCTGACCACCAGGTCCTTCATCTCCGCGCAGCGAGACTCCAGGCCGGGCACAAGCCGAGCCCGCGCGTCCGTCGCGGACAGCGCGTCATCCAGGTCCCGCAGTCGGGCCAGCAGCGCCTCCCTCTCGGCACCCAGCTGCCGAAAAGATGCAATCAACAGCTCGGCACGCCAACGGATGCGCACTGCGGCCACCCGGCGCCATTCGCCGCGCCTTCGACTGAATAACACCGGCCTGATCTGCGACTTGCATGCAGGCCCCAAGATGGGCGGGGGCAGGGATTTGCAACTGGGTGTGTGGAAGGACTGGAGACACGACACCTTGAACCGCGGACACTCTATGCAATCTGGTGAACGATGAACAGCGACACGGCAAGTACCCACCTGATTCAGCGCCATGTCCTTGTCCCTGCACGCCCGCTGCGCGGCATACAGGTCCCCTCGCAGGCTCGCCAGCTCCTGCTGCGCGCTCCTGTGGCCGGCGCAACAACGCGCGTGAGCCGGGCGTTGCACACATGGCCGTTGCGATCCGATGGCGCAGCCGCAGGACGCCTCACCTGAGCAGGTCGCCCCCGGGAGGCCCCGTCTGGCCATCCATCGCGCAGACGCTGCCCCAAACTCCAGGACCAGTGCAGCAGACTTCAAAAGCGCAGACTCCAAAGGCGGGCCCGCCTCTGCCCCGCAACACCGCGGTTGATGACAGGGAAATGCCGACTCCCGTTGCCAAAGCCATTCTAAGGCGAGGTACCCATTTTTTCAATCAGACAAAGACGGAGGAAGGAAGAAGGAAAACCACACAAAGAACTACCCAAAACTACACGAAAGCTACAAGGAAGCCTGGGCTCGCGGGACCAGCCCATTGCCCGCAAAGCCAGATACCGGGGCAAGCGGGCACCTCTTGCGCGAGCCAGTCAGCCCCTTGGGCCGTTTTCGCGGCTATGAGCTGGCGACTGCTCAGCTCAGCGACCAGGAGGTCCTGCCTTTCATGCTGCAGTGAAGCTGGGGCTTGGACGGGGCGGCCCGTCCAACAAGGTGGCGGCGTGCGCGCATACTGCGCCGCGGAGTCGGAGACTCGGCCCGGGAGCGATGTGACAGTCACCGACGATGGCGTGGTCAGAAAGAAGGTGAGATCGTGAGGCGGGCTGGTTATTCTCTGATGCGCCAAGGATCCGGGAGCGAGGGAGAAGAGATCCACGCCCGCATGTATGTGCTCTTCTGGAGGATTGTGGGCTGGGCAGGTCGCTGTGAGGCGCAATTCGACTCGCTTCTATGGTCATATGTTTGTATGTTTGTATGTGTGATGTCGGCACCAGAAAGGGGTTCTGTATCCTACCTGCACAAGTGGACCTCCAGCCAGCTCCAAAAAACCAGGAAAACCAGGACCTGAATGGGGCCAGTGTTTTCCATTTTGCGTTCCTCAGCCTAGCATCCGTGTGTGCATGCGGTGCTTAGCTTGCAAGAGGTCCTTGCTGCTGAAGACCATGAATGGCAGTGCATGCATCAATAACTTGTCCCAAATTTGGTAGTGGACGCAACTGCAGCTGTCGTCTGCCTTGATGGCATCAGGCTTCAACTAGTTTCTGTGTTTCGTTGATACTGACAAAGTAGTGCCAGTAAAGCATGCCTAACAGCGCCTGATGGGTGAAAGGGGCAGTCAGTTGGCCCTTACCACTGGTTGTACCAATGTAGCAGTGAAGGAACACATTCACATCTGCAACGGGTAATCCTGATCCACTCCCAAGGATCTAACATTAGAAGAATCCCACGAGCCATCAGAATTTGTGTTGTGCAGTTGCTGGGCAGGTTGTTGTATCGAAGCAAACAGAGGGGACTTCTGGAGCTGGACATAATGATGGTGATGATGGGGCGAGGTTGCAATGCTGCTTAAGTGTTTGCAGGCAGGGTAATGAGTGCATCAGCACTGACTACCACTGTTTGCCTGAAGGGTGATGAGTGCATCTGCATTGACCACAGTTTTCAAGATGTGCCAAGTCCCCATCAGCCAATGTTGGCTGAAGGGTGAGTCTGGCACTGATCGCTTCCAAATGCATCGCAGAACAGAAACTACAGTCGCTGGCTTTTGCTGACAGCAAAAGCGTGACAGGAGTGGCAGCTGACATTTAAAGAGTGGTGCTGCACAGGGAAGATGGGTGGAGAGCCAGCTGGAACAGATGGAGTCTGAGAAACTGCATTTGCTGTCAGCCCTAGTGGAAGAGGTTGGTGAAAAGTAGCGAGAGCTGTGGACATCCCCAGCACTGCATGTTTGGCACACCAAAAATGCATTGGTTTGCCAGGTGAAGAGAGACACAGACACCTGTTTGATAGGATGGCTTTCTTACACAAGCATTGCATTGGTGAAGTGCCCATGCTGTTTGCAGGATTCGCTCGACTTGTACCGTTGGGTCACAGGACAGGAGGAGCCCCCACAGACTGTTCAAGAGAACTCTGTGTTCCAGGTGAGTGCCCTGAGCATAACAACAATTGCACCCATTTCTCCCCATTTGGATTCTCACAGGCTTCAAACTATGCCGTTCTGTGGCATTCTTTTGTATTCCAATCGTCCATGCTAATTTTGGATTCCTTCCAGCAGTGTTGGAAATGTCGCAAACAGGTTCCTAACCCCTCCATCATGTTGGGCGATCGGCTGTCACTTGGCAGAATTGTTTACAAGCTGGCATCGTGTGCTTGGGTAAAGTCAATTTGGCTCCTGCCCATTGGTGAAGCAAGACACGGCATCGTGTTGTAGCTCTCGATTGATTGGGGCAGATTGATGGGGGCAAGGGCATGTTTGAAGTGGGGCCTCTGGTTTCTTGATTTGGGCAGTTGCAATGATTGCAGGAATTTGCTGTGTATCAAATGGTCTGGTTATCTTTGGCCCCCCACATTATTCTGGACCTCACCCTTTGCTCCGATCTGACAAATAGATGCATAAGCACTGTTCGCGCATGCCCCTGTGCCAATGCAAACCATAGTGATCGGCGTTGTGCTGTTGATATCTGAAACCTAGTTGGCATGCTGCCTTTGTTAAGGATCTCTGCTGGCATGTGAAGAATCGCATGGCAGGCTCAACCTCAAGCAAAACACCACAGGGTGCTGAGTGGTTGAGGGGATGGATGGACAAGGGAAACCAATGATGCGTGTTCATGGATGAGAGTGAGAGACACGCCATTGCCAGACACTCAAGCAAGCCATCCGAATATATCCAAGGAGATTTCTGGCAAAACTGGTATGTGACCACGGCCAGCTTGGGCATTGCCATGTTCTGGCAAATCAGATATGTGGACGAGATGTCAACACACACTGCATGGCCTTGGCTGCAATGGAGAGCCGGGACATCCAATTACGTTTGTGATATATCTGTTCGATTTGGCTTGCTGAAGGTCTTCTCCTTGGAATTGGCTTGTGTCAGTGGGACAGCTCGCTGTTGTCAACAATGGCCTGCCAAACAGACAGGCGCAGGTGTTGTGTTGCCGTGTTGGACCTGCAGCTGGCTCAGTGCACCATGTTGATAGGAAGTCCAAGCTGGGTCCAGAACAGTGACACACAGATAGAGGCATCATCTGTGTAATAATGCAGTGGTGGCTCCGATGAGCAGACAGGAGTTGCAGAGAACTCTGTCTGCTGAACTCCAGATCATAGCAACCAAATTGCAGCTTGATCGATGCGCTTCTCTCTGCATACCCAACGATGTCGAAGCTGTTCAGAAGCTGCATGGGCTATGATCTATGTGTTTGTGCATCGGGGATGATGGTATCCATGTTAGGCTGCTGGCATTGAGTCCATGACTCTCAATGTCACCAAGCAGGTTGCACAGGCTCCTCGTTGCTCCAGGAAGGTCAATTGATTTGCTGGAAGATGTTGGTTGAACCCATTTCCAATGTAAGTTATCATTGATAGTTTTGTCAAGACGATTAATAGTGTCTCTTGTTTGCCGAGTTAGACGAATCGCTCATGTTCATTTGCTGGGCCACATAGGATGCTATAGCTCTCAGAATACTTATCTGTCCAATGTTCACGATGCTCATGGGCTGCCATGCGCCAGGGGGTTGCCAGTTTGGGGATTTGGCAAAATCGGCGATTTTCTTCAACAAGATGCAGGCTGCCTGTTCCCTCATTTTGTCAGTGTGCTTGATTTCCTATTGTCAGAACGAATGTTGTCTTTTGCCTCGCATGTGTTGATTCTGATATGAACATTGGACTGAATTAAGGACTCCATCTGCCTATTGTTCTGGACTGAATATGAAGTAGTCACAGGGAGGCATTTTGGGTAACAGCGCCCAGTATGGAACGACTTTAATCACGCTTGCGTTGAATGCATCGGGAAACTCAACAGTACAGTGATTATGGATGAGGTTTGGCGACGAAATCGCATCAAGTTTCACTAGTTGATGTCGAAACAAAGAGAACGGTCACACGGGAATGTACTTACGTGGCCGTTGAGGGAATAGTCTGATCCGTACAGACAAGGTTTGAGCTGCTGAAGCAATAAATTGAACCCATACTCAGAGCGATAATCGGGGCAGCCAGGACAGTGCAAAGGGAGAGGCGCATGGAAAATGAGTGGCATGATGGGAATACGGAACGGTTATAGGAGTGGAAGAAGAAGCTTCAGAGGCAGATTCACAGCTCATTGGACAATGGCATACGTGGAGTACATCAGACGAATGACAGAGCCAAGTGGCCGTCCGTGAGTGGCGTTCAGTTACCACTCAACTCACTGCCGATGAAACAGGCGTTCTTCTTGCGACGGGCTGCAGGCGGCGCACCACGCCAAAAATACAGCTGGCGATTGCAGCCTGTGCGACAGGTCGCTCTGAACAGAACTCTCCCCACACCCTGGCGAACATGTCACAGCGTTCAGGATTCAATGCTGAAGGCAAGCAAGGTGCTGTTGACCACGCCAAAGACGACAGGGAACACACATACACACCAGCAGTTCTAGTAGCACCGCACTTCCCTCAGATAGCATACAATGCCCACACAGTTGTTTAAAGAACTGACGCGCACCCTAAGCCCCAATCAAATACTGTATAAGCAAAAAAGTTCCGGCGGAAAAAATTTCGCGTATTTTGCGGAAAAAGTTTTGCGTATTTTGTGCGGAAAAGTCTTCCCATGGAAAAAGTTCGTGCGCTTCTCGGTTCATGAACTTTTTTCCACCGCGAATTTTCTTCCCTTGCAAAAAATTTCACTTCGCGAACATTTGCATCACGCGAACATAATAGAATGGAACGGGGCTCCTGCCGCCCTTCGCCAGGGGTGGCGCCGTTTCTTATTGTGCCACGCTGTCCCCCGGGCGCCATCCTGACCCTCCGGCTGCCACAGACAAATGACGCGAAATAGAGCCGAAGAATAGAGAATAGAGCCGCCTGGTCAGGGAGATGGCACCTCCTTGCCGCCAAGATTCAATTGCCCGATGGCCACCGGCGCAAGCGATCTGCAAGCCTGCTCAGGGCTCCTTTGGGGCAATCGCTGCTCGACAAAGACCGCCACACGGGGCATTCGTCATTGTGCAAGGCCAATGGGCCCAAGTGTGGGAAGCGCCCGATCCGTTTTGGAGGAGGCCGAAAAGTTCATGGGGACAAAATGTTGGCTCGGTGTTGAACTTTATCAAGGCTGCATACATTAAACGGAAATGGCAAGTATTTGGCTTGGAAAAGTGGCCCCCACTTTAATTTCAACCACGTTTGAATAGCCACATAGTGGGGAAATCATCAATAGTTGCAAGATGGGTGCATGGATAAAAGGGTGTGGTGTGTCACGCACCCCGTGTGGTTATGGGCAGATGCTCTCATGTGAAGTGAACAAAACTAGGAAATTCATGTTATAGTAACAGATGTTACTCCATTGACATCCGTTGGGCACGTGGCCAATCACATTCACCGGATGCCTATCCGTCTGTGAACATCTGCGGCGCCTTGCGCTGCGCCACCCCTGGCCCCCCATGACCTGCGCGCTGTCACCCGAGAACATGAACGAAGATGTATGTCTTAGGCATGCAGATATGGCTCAAGGATGCAGATAGATGGGGCGTGCATTGGGCTCAGATTGGGTGCTAATTGGCGAAATGGGACCGAGGCATCCGGAGGAGTGGACAGAGCGGGCCCCTGACCTCTGAGTTTTGATGGCACAAGTGGGGGAAAACGCCACCCGTCTATAGAGCATCGAGGGCAAGGTGGATGCCTTGCTGATAGCATTTGGCGGGGAAGGATTGGGGATGGGAAGGTTGGCTATGGAGCTGGGTATGGGGGGTCACACATTGCAGATTACCCAAGCTCCATAAGACACAAACATTTTTGGGATGGAGGTAGCAGCAGGGGAGGCACCAAAAGTGGCGCAGTGGCCAGCAGAAAGGGATGCGGCCATTGCAGTGACGGGGGCCATTGAGGGACTCACTTTAGCGGGGATCGACGTGAGCCCTGTGGAGGTGATCACCTCCATCTCCATCATGATGGAGATGCATCCCGCGCAAAGTGCTCCCCCCGCCCACTCCGTGAGTGCGCTAGCAGTGGGAGGACATGCTGTCCTTGCAAATGGTTGTGCGCCAAGTGCAGACATAAGAGGAACGAAATGCTTCGGTGGTGTGCAAATGGCTTATAACTTGTGCATTGGGCACGGCCATTGGGACGTAGTGGAGCGCAAAAGATGGTGCAGGTCAGTAACCCATTTTGTTACCGGCTCGTGTGTTTGTCTAAGCGTGAACATTGTTTCTTTGTTTTTGATGAGAATCAACAAGTGTGGGTGTACGCCTACGGGCCACCCGACCCTATAGATAGATTTGTGCGTTTTCCATTGGGGATGAGAAACAGGCAGGGCTAGATTACCGCATGCGGTAATTCTCTACGCAAAGAATATCAGTAATTTGATGGGGCTGAAATGTATCATGTTTTCTAGTCAAATGGTAGAAATATATAAATAACCTAAGCTGGGTAGGATAAGCCCCACGTCCTATAAACACATGAATATGTTCGGAGGCTGTGGGATAAGAAAAGGAGCGTGAAGGGTGTGATGGGTCACAGGCGTATGGGATAATGGATTAGTACATTGAGAGGGATAAAAGTGATGGTGAAGTGACCTAGCATAAAGGGACGGTGACATGGAAAAGTGAGTGCTAAGGGATAGTTGTGATGCGAGGAAGGTAGGAAATGTAAAAAATTTTGCAGCAGGAAAAATATGAGGCGATCCCAAACGCCTATGTCGTTATTGGGGCCGGCTGGTGGATAGAAAAGTGACA